CAGGCCAGAATATCGTGGTATGCTCCATATCCTCCATTGGTTGTATGTCAGGTATTGCACGTTTTGGTCAAGTGTCAACAAACGAGACCAACTAAAGCAAAGACAGGAGGACAGCGAAAAGGGGCACTCTAAGTCCAACCAGGCCAGAATATCGTGGTATGCTCCATATCCTCCAAATTTGAAAATCGTACACACTCCCAAGATCCAGCAGTCATCATATCAGCAGCTGTACTACACAGCAGCAGCAGTATAGACGAGTCCGACATACAGCTGTACCGTAGTAACAGATACACTATCATCATAGCCCCACACATTCCCTGGAAACACATACACTATCATCCAAGTCTTCTTACCCTGACCTAAACTAGGGTTGACTTATTGCACGACATTTCCCACAATTCCCACAAGCACACCAGCACACACCTACCTTTGCATCAGTTCCCCTGCTGTTCCCGGCCCACGAAGGCATAAGAAACACACTTTGATCGCAAGGGACTTCGAGACGCGCAAACCCACGACCCCACTGGCACATCTACACACATATCTACGCGCGATAGGCCACCGCCGGCCGATTCCACGTCAGAAAATCACAGGAGCTGTAGTGAGCCGGCAGGGCTCACACTGGGAGGGGACAGAGATGTACAGGAGTACAAGAACCAGCTATGGGTCTACAAGCTCGCTCACTGATCATTTTGAATACTCTGAAAAACGAGTAGTTCTCAGGCGGCTTGGCCACTTATCTTTTCGAGGCCTACAAGCCAACCTTCCCTACCGGCGGCACCGCGACCATGCATCAACCCTTCTATGACCCTATCCGTGCCCACCGTCCTGTCGCGGGCAGCCCTCATGACCTATGGGTGGAGATAGCCGTAGCGCCTACAGAAGTACAATCGTTTCTTTCTGCTGTACTTCTGCCTCTTTCGCCGCGCTTCTCCCTTTTTTCTTTGCCGCAAAAAAAAGAGCTAGACCAAGGGCGCACAAAAAAAAATTCCGACACCTACCGGACGAAACTTTTTTTCAGACCTCACCGGCGGGGGAGGGTTACGAAGGCCCTTCCCCCCACCCCCGACGCCGTACAATTTCCTATATAAACACGACTATGCTAAATCCTATATGCAAAGGAGACACATTTCATGCACGGGGGCATCGTAACAACCCACGTAGCCCCTGGGCGAGCTTGAGCTTGCGTGCATACCGTCCGTAAAGCAGAGGAGAGAGAGAGAGAGAGAGAGAGAGAGAGCTTAGG